GGAGATACAACAGGAAAAACAGAATGCCGTGAAATAGGGCTGACTTTTTCTCTGTCTCGTCGTGGATTCTCCTTGTTCTTTTTTCCTCTTCGAATCCTAATTCTCGTCTGGGCTCTTGTTCTCCTGCGTGGCTCCCGCTTTTGCTCCGCCCTTTGTTATGGTTCTGTATCAGATAGAGCGCTCCGTGAGCAGCCTTGACCCCATCAAGGATTTGATACAGGTACAGAGACGGAGTTATTCGTCTGAACTGAGGCGATCGACAGGTTCGAGTACAAAAGAACAAGCAGCACACAAGAACGACACCCGCGCGGCCAATAGGGGGGAATATGGGCGAAGCTGAAACCGAAAAACAGCCGAAAGCTGAGGAGGATTTAACCCTACCTTTTTTCTGATTCGCGCAGAACCACCACACAGTTGTGCTCAGCTACACGGCAACTTTTCGAAAATAGGGAGGGGAAAGTTCGAAACGAAGGATAGCAGAAAAAGCCGAACAGTTCCTGTTGCGTGTGTAAGGAGAGGCGGTTGATAATAATGGCCACATAGGATGCTCCGTAAGGGAAGGAGGAAAAGGGTGGAAAAAGACAACGAAGCAAGCCCCCGGCCGGTCGAGGGGGATGCAGGCACCAGGTCGTGTTAGCGTCGATCAACTGGAGCGGCTTTACGAACAACACGCAACGCACGCACACACACACGAGGGTCAGAACAGAATCCGTTCGAGCGTGCTGTCTCTGGTCGTTTATAAGGGAAAAAATAGATGCCAGTCAACCACCAATAGATGAACGGTGGGTGTAGCTGATAGCGTCAGTACGACTTTAGCCTAGTTTTCAACCCCCCGCCACGGCAGAAGAGCGAAGTCGAACCGGCGGTAAAGGGAACCTGGGGATCGATCGGTGGGACAAAACGAAAGGCGAAGTCAATAAACCCGGTCCACGACAGCAGGCAGGATGACAGGCTGTAAGTATAAGATCCCAGTTCGGCGGTTGGACGCTGCAGGTCGAGCAGAGTATATAAGATATCGATATTAATGGCGGGCTAGAGAAGCTTGGCTAAAGGGGTAAAGGAGGCGGCGAAAGTCAATGTTTCAGCATGCTCTGCGCTTGGCAGCAACAGGAGGGCGTTTCCACCAGGACAAAACAACCGAAGCAGCACCAGAACGTAGCACAGACGATGCTGTGAAGAGCGACAGATTCCGCAGAAGACGAAGATGAGGTTGAAGTCGAAGTCGCCTGAAGTCGAGAATTGCCGAAAGGAGACGAAGAGGCGATGCTGACGTCAGCGCTGAAAGGGGACTAGCGTCGCTGCTGGCGGCTACAGGCTTGGCATGACGTACATGCTTATATAATAAATTTCACGAAAAAGGGGGAAGTTCGACCTGAAGCCGAGAGGAAGCGATCTTGTTTCTCCCTGGAAGAGAACGGACAAGAGAGACTGGCCGCAGAGATCGAGGAACGGGAGTCCGGATGCTTATGTATCCTCCGTCGAGGCTGAGATTAAACGTCGCCTCCTTACTCCGTAGCGGCAGGCGGCTTCTAGAGGGCCTAGACAGCCAAATCCACGAGGTCCTCTTGGTCGCTAAGATGTAAGGCGCTTCTTTGGTGGAGAACTGGCATGTCTAGGTAGGACAGGCACTCTTTCAGCCTTGGAGAATGGGCATTGATTGACCATGGATCACGAAACGCATAATATTAACATATACATAGCAACACTACAGAGCTTGTCACCCCAATCTTTTATGCAGCAAGGGGGCCCTCGAGCGTGGGACTTCGCTTCAGGCCAAACGGCAGTGGTCCGTCCGATGATGGCTATGGATTGTACTAGGTTGTACTCCGTAAGCGCTGTCGTATTCGCCCTTTAATCAGTCGCTAAGATTGGAACAGATTACCGGTACACTGTATCAAAAATAGGTTCCCAAACTGAGGGTGGTGTTTACTTCATGCAGGTGTCTCACACCTTAACTTTAGGAGATAGAGAGCCTTTTCCATCATGGCTGCGTTTCCAGATATCAGCTCCGTATCTTGATTTCTTCAAATACACATACATCTGGAATAATGCACGTTCATGAATCTTGCCCCACTGAAGTCGTATAAAGCCAGGAGGTTAAAACCGAAAGGCAGAGATAAGGAAAGAACTCGTGTGATTCTCCATTATCGTTTCTTGGGATTGGCCATGTAAATTCGCCTTGCTCGTACTCACGAATGTACGGAGTACGGAGGAGGTCTCAATATACTGCCAGACAGTGGTGATCATATAACTGACTAGTCGACCGACTAGCAAATGCACCATTAACTAGTCACAGATTCAGGCGCTCTATTCTGCAAGTAACCAGTCCACTGCCGTCAAAGCTCATCGAATGGAGACCTAGGGCACCTTTAGCAAAACTTTGCCCATTGCACGTATCTTTGACCCGTACCTAGACTTACTCCTAGCAAGGTGGGATAAGTGGGATCAACGTTGAAGATGACAACACAATTCAATTCTCAATATGAGTTGAGTTTTTCCGTAGGAGATAATTCGATCTACAAAATACATAAAGTGAATAATTGCTCGATCGCCACCATCTTTCAGAAACACATGCTGTTTCTTTCAACTACTCGTATCTCGTAGTTACCCCTGAGCCTCAGAGCTAGACGGGGTCGATAAATCGCCACTGCCCACTTAACTACTCGGAGGAAAACTTTCCATAGGGCGGATGATTACCATAAAATGGAACCCCATTCTGGAGTTCCTCGCCTCTATCCCTGAGCATCATACTCTAAAAGAGCAACATCAAGCGTAACATTCGGCTTTATCCTGAAAAGTCTATAGAGACTTGGGAAAAGTATAAGTGTCTTCGAGGCAGAGAAATTATGTGAAGAAGCCTATCAGCCTTGGGTTAGGCGGTAAAAACGTTCACTACCGGCAACTACTTCGCATATCTTGCATGGACCATTAGCTGGGGAATCTCTGCCTAGGGAAGATTCCAAAAGCTCTTGACAAATAATGATTCGGCCAGAAGTGACTGACTGGCTGGAGCCATGAAATGACGATGTTGATTACATACGCAAGGACCTGATAGGATTTATTGACAGTCATGTGATGCAGCTGAGTGATTGACCAATTAAAACCATGAAAATTGAACCTAATATTATGCATCGCCCAATCCCGGTCACCCCACCGATAAAGCTAGACAGACACATATCACGTAGTTCTGTCCAGCTCCAGAACAATATTGACAAATATTCCATCAATCCCCTTTTGAAGCGCTCTACACGGAGGGAAAAACCCGAATATTTTATTGTTTGATCACGCGGATAAGCACACGGGTAATCACTGCAGCTATATCCATTACATTACTCGAGCCATCACTCATGTCGCTTGTCTCAGGCCCAGGTAGAGGCGGATCTACCTCTGGAGCGCAGGAGCTCTACACTCAAAAACATGTGGATTATATAAAGAGTCTAGATACTGTGCGTAAGATTCCCTTCTCCTGGCATCCGCTCTTCTTTTCCTGGTCTGTCTAGACACCCTGCTGACCCCTGGCTTGCCAGCGAAGAGATGAACTTGAATATTGGTTAACGGAACACCTCCGGCTCAACGGCGTCTACTGGGGTCTCACAGCACTGCATATACTCGGGCATCCAGATGCTCTACCGCGCGACAAAACGATAGAATTTGTTTTATCCTGCCAGAGAGAAGATGGTGGTTTCGGTGCGGCGCCTGGACACGATGCCCACATGTTATATACCGTTAGTGCGGTACAGATACTTGTAACGCTTGATGCGGTTGACGAGCTGAACAAGGATGGACGCGGTGGGAAGGAGAAGGTTGCTTCTTGTATGTTGAACCCCAGATTGGCTATATCTTGATATGTGCTAAATCAGGGGGTGCTGTAGGGATTGCGAACCTCCAAGACCGTTCAACGGGTACGTTTAAGGGGGACTCGTGGGGAGAAACAGATACCCGGTTCCTTTATGGGGCGTTTAACGCACTTTCTCTACTCGGCCTGTTACACCTCGTCGATACTGAGAAGGCTGTAGCATATATCCAATCCTGTGCCAATTTTGATGGAGGGTATGGGGTTAGGCCAGGTGCTGAGTCACACGCCGGTCAGATATTCACCTGTGTCGGAGCTCTCGCTATAGTTGACAGGCTAGACCTGGTTGATACCGACCGGCTGGGTGGCTGGCTTAGTGAGCGACAGTTGGAGAATGGAGGCCTCAACGGGCGGCCTGAAAAGAAAGAGGATGTGTGTTATAGCTGGTGGGTGATGAGTTCGTTAGCAATGATCGGAAGGCTACATTGGATCAACGGTGATAAGCTTGCAGCATTCATATTACGGTGCCAGGTAGGGCTGCTGTTCATATGCACGATACCTTGAAAAAGTGAGACATACTGACTGTTTTAGGATCCTGAGCATGGCGGCATCGCTGATAGACCTGAGGATATGGTGGATGTATTCCATACTGTGTTTGGGCTAACAGGTTTGAGTTTGTTGAAGTATCCAGGCCTGAAAGAGGTAGACCCAGTATAGTACGTTTCATTGGCATCAACTAAATATATGGAGGGTGAACCCTGTTGCTAACATACATCAGCTGTATGCCTAAGGAGGCGACAGATAGAGCATTAGGTCGTTGCGTATAGTTGTGAATATAAATCGTGATATACTATTTAATTGTAAGTAACCCTGCGCCGACCGTTAGTCACCCACTAGATCTCCCTCTCTCTTCCCCAACTCCCGCTTCTAATGGCCCATCGACCTTACAAATGGACAATGGGACACTCGGCAGGAGAAGAAAATACCTACTCGCGTGCCATATATCCACTTAGGGAGGTCTATACATATTAGCCCTGAGAGCATTAGCGCATCGTGTACATAAAACTACCACTCCACCGTGATAAGCTCATCAAACTTATCATCTCCAAACATCTTTCTTCATCTTTCATACATCTATCGTCTCTTGATATCCATCGTCGTGCTGTGTTCTTGTGCTGGTTGTTCTGCTTTCTAAAAGTGCCGAAAGTTAAAAAAGAACAACAACAGCGGCCGTGCTCTTTCCAGATATCTCAACCTCCTTCTCCCACTCTTTTGACCTCTTCCCTTCGACTTTTGGTGCTTTTCCTCGTCTCCAGGCCTGCTCTTCCTCTGCCAACGACAGGGAAGAACAAACAAATATCCCCTTTGAGCAGCCGGCGAGGTTCTTTATCTCCTCGCTGTTTCTCTCCCTCTTCCTCCCTCCGTCAGCAACATCGACATCGACATCGACATCGACACTGACGGCGGATCTCGATTGCCCCTCCATGCAACGTCTCGTCTTCTCGTCTGAGCCAGAAGCCATTGCAGAGACCATTGAACAGTTTCATTGTTGTACTACAGTATTACTACCTTAGTATTACTCTTCTCTCCTTTCTTCTCTCCAAGACCTCGTCCCCCCCGTATACCAGTTCCATGAACTCCAACTCGGTCAATATGCCACAGTCGGAGCTGAAGTGCAACATCTGCCCCCGGAAGCCCAAGTTCAGCGATGTCTCTCACCTTCTGACCCATGTGAGCTCGAAAGGGCATCTGTCTCACTACTTCAAGCTACAGGTACGCAGCCAGCAGGAACCCCAGGCTGGTGAGCTGCTGGCTGCGTATGACCGGTGGTATAAGCAGAATAAGCTGGCCAACCTGTTGTCAGACCGTATGCTAGCAAAAGAAGCCCGGACTGGCAAAGGCTCCCGAGCCAGTAACCGCTCAAGTCTTCCGGTTGCCTTTTCCCATCAGCCGTCGACAACTGTGGCTCCACCTACCAACCGGAATGCCTCCATTACATCCAGTCCTAGGAGAGGTTCGCTTCCTAGCTTCTTGGATCCCCAGCTCTCTCAGAATTACTATACCTACGACGCTCAAGGAAACCGTATCTCTGGCAGAACATACTCTCCCATGTCTGTTTCGAGTATGATCAACCCCAATCCTCAGCCTGGATATGGCTGGCACCAACAAACTCAATATCAGCCCCAGACCACTTTGCAAGCCTCGTCGGTGCAAACCGTATGGAAGGATGGAGATGAGACGGAGTCAGACGGAGAGGGAAGTCCTCTGATGGCCAGGCGAATGAGGAGAGGGTCGTTGCTACACCCATCTCTTCGCTTTGTTCGGCGATCCATAACTCCCGACCCCTTCATTGACGATGATGCTGCTTATGAGTATGATGACCAGGAAGACCAGAGTCAGCGTGGAAGCGATGAGGTGAACCGGCTGAAAGGGGTCTTTTGGCCTGGGATGGATATTTTTGATTCTGCAACTGAAGAAATGAGACGTAAACGCAATCAGAAGAAGGATGGTTCCATTATCAAGCAAATGGAAGAGACATCCGAAAGCGTCGAACCTACCGAGCTAGTGTTCTCCCCTAACGGTACCCTTCGGAAACAGCGTGTCATCTCTGGGATGGTTGACGATAGTAGCCCACTGAAGGGAGAGACTCCTATCCCGAAGACGAAGGTAACCCGTCCTCGTAGACGACCTATGTCTCAGTTGAGTGGAAATGTGCAGATGGCACAAAACAGGTACAGGATGAGGATTAGGGAGCAGAGCCGCGCTGCTCAGCTCGAAAAGCTGTCTCAGCAGGCATTACTGCTCGGTGGTCACGGCGATCCGATGAACTATCCTCCGCTGGACACCCACCGCAATGCGCTCTTTAACACATCCAAGTATGGACTCGAAAATTCCGCCAACACACCGTATTATGGCCCCTTTAAACCTCCAAGTACTGGTTGGTAGCTTTGTTTATATCCACAAAAATAAGGTCCCGGCTAATACCTTTATCACACTAGAAGCATACCGTGGGAAAGAGAATGTTGACCCTATGTTTTCCCATGAGCGAAATTTTCAGAAGCAACAGTACTATTACGGATATCCATCCCAAAACGAGAACGATAACTATGGATACTCAACGAACCCCTTGTCTTATGCCGCCTCTCAGCAATCTTGTGACTCTGGTTCCAATAGGGCTGGCATTAGGGACACTATGACCGTTGATACCAAAGACTTATTTGGTCAGCAGGCACCAGGAGTTTTCCAGAACGCATCTCCCAAAAGCCCCATGGCTGAAATGGGCCACGATGACATTGCTCGGATGTATTTTAATGGCCCGCTAGAGTGATTACTAGGGTTCTCGAGGGCTTGCCTACACTGACATGAATTACAGTTATCACTCTTTTTATATATATTTCTACTGTGAGCCGCTGGTCAGCAATCACTTTTAAAGACTATGCTGTGAACCCAGCCAGCTGATGGTCAAACCGCTCACATCTAACTATATTACGATTCAAACAACGGCTCGCGCATAACGGGCGATTCCCATTATTAACTAGTGAGATGATCATCGGTGTTTTAAACTTACCTATTGATACGTTAACATGCATTTTTTTGATTTTCTAAAACTTTGCAGTCAGGCATACATAGATCAGTTTATAGAAGTCCTGCCAAAACGTCATGATAATAATAACATTACTTTCGTACGATATGCCAGAAATGGTCACGTGGTAGCTGAACTGCGATTTAAATTGAATATTACCTAAGCATGGCGACTACACGCGATTTCGACGCGTTCAAAAAGAGGTCTTGAAGAACAGCTCCAAATTTGATACCAGAGGGCAACGGAGTGCAACAACAGCATAGTTGCTCATTGACGGACAGACTTATCAGACTAGTTGAGAGTCAACTTCGTCTGCGAAGCGGAAACGATTGAATAATGAGTCAAACACCAAGTCTGAAACGAAAACAGCAGACGATATCTAGCTTCTTCACCAAAACTGTACCCAGTCCGTCGTCTGGTGGGAGCACTGCCGAACAGAAGAACGGGAAAAGGGATACAAGCCACCAATCTACTCGAGAATTACCTGGCAGGTCAAAGTCGAAAGTTTCGCCAAAAGCAAAGAGCAATGGTACAAAGCAAGATGTCGAGGAAGACGAGGACGAGGATGAGGTCGTACTCCCGGTTAAAAAGCGGATAAGAAGCAGTGCATGGAAGGCCCCTGGGAATGAATCAGAGAAATCAATAACTGGAAAACATGGTACTGAAGAAGATGAAGAAGAAGAAGAGGCGGGTGAAGAGGGAGAAGAGCTCCGACCTTCAAGTCCTATACAAAACACGGAGCCTCAATCTTCTGCATCTCGAGCAGAGAGATTCCGGTTCCAGTCCTCGCCCGTGCAGCCCCCGACGGACGAACATATATCACCTGCAGAGCGCAAAAAGAAGGACCAATTGCATCAGAAATTCGTGCGTCGGCTGGGTGGGCCGGATTGTCTTCCAGCATTAAACTCCCATGATGGTGCCTCTGAAGTAGACCTAGTTGTTGAAGGTGCAGCGAGTGACGAGGAGGAAGAAGATAGCCCGCCTCCTGCTCCAAAGGGTAGAGCTGCGAAGAAAGCTGGAGGATCTAAGCTAACACCAATGGAGAGGCAAATAATGGAGATCAAGAACAAGCATCTCGACGCCGTGTTACTCATCCAGGTTGGGTACAAGTACCAGTTTTATGGCGAGGATGCGAGAATAGCAGCCAAGGTTCTCAGTATAGTGTGTATACCGGGGAAACTTAGGTTTGACGAGCGTTAGTTCCCTTGTTCTATATATACAATGAATATTATGGCTAACGGTACCTACAGACCCATCGGAAGCACATCTGACTCGTTTTGCATCCGCAAGTGTACCTATCCACCGTCTCCATGTACATGTCAAACGACTGGTGGCAGCTGGATATAAGGTCGGCGTTGTAAAGCAGCTGGAGACCGCTGCGCTAAAGGCTGCTGGAGATAACAGAAACGCACCATTCGTGCGGAAACTTACCAATATGTATACCAAGGCAACGTACATTGAAGACGATGCTGAGCTTGAACTATCTGGTGCTCTGGAACCGTCTACAGGCTACTTACTGTGTTTAACAGAGAGCGGTGCTAAAGGGCAAGGAGATGGCGAGAAAGTTCAAATCGGAATTGTTGCGGTTCAGCCAGCGACTGGGAACGTCATATATGACAGTTTTGAGGATGGGTTCATGAGGAGCGAGATTGAAACCAGACTGCTCCATATTGCTCCCTGCGAATTGCTCTTGGTTGGTGATCTGTCTGCTGCAACCAACAAACTTGTTCAGCATCTGGCCAAAGGTAGAATGACTACCTTTGGGGATAGTGTTCGAATTGAGCGGAGGGAGAAATCTAAGACTGCGGCAGCCGAAGCACATAGTCATATATCCAGCTTCTATGCCGGAAAGATGGCCGCTACTGGCTCACCAGAGGATACCAACGCGAGCAATCTGCTAGATCAGGTGCTCAAGCTACCTGACGACGTGACCATCTGCCTATCTGCCATGATTAAGCATTTGACAGAGTATGGGCTTGAACATGTTTTTGATTTGACGAAATACTTTCAGTCATTTTCTGCAAGATCTCATATGCTGCTTAACGGAAACACATTAACGAATCTAGAGATATACCAAAACCAGACAGACTACTCGTCAAAAGGTAGTTTATTTTGGAGCATGAACCGGACGCGGACGAAGTTTGGCCAACGCCTACTCCGGAGATGGGTTGGGAGACCATTGCTAGACAAAGCAAAGCTGGAGGAGCGCACAGAGGCTGTTACAGAACTGCTTGACTCGGACAAGTCTACTCTTACGTATAACCTAGGGGCTACCTTGTCGCAGGTCAGAGTAGACCTCGAAAAGGCTTTGATTCGGGTGTACTATGGGAAGGTAAGTGGGAAAATTGGCTTGTTTTGACATTCGTTGATATTCTAATAATTACTATTACTAGTGCTCTCGGCCGGAACTGTTGACGATGCTCAAAAGCATGCAGTCAATTGCTGCGAGCTTTGCCCATGTAAAGTCCCCGGCTGACTCTGCGTTTAAGTCTCCTATTCTAAGCGAATCAATTGCCATCCTGCCTACAATGCATGATGATGTTGTTTCATACTTGAATAAAATCAATGAAACAGCTGCAAAGAAGGATGACAAATATGACTTTTTCCGCGAGTCAGAGGAGTCAGAGGAGATCGGCGAACATCGTCTAATGATCGGAACGATCGAGTATGAGCTCAAAGACCATTTAAAGTCTATAGCCGAGACTCTAGGCAAAAAGAAAGTCCAGTATGTTTCAGTTGCAGGGATCGACTATTTAGTTGAAGTTGAGAACTCTCAAGGTGCTTTGAAGAAAGTACCAGCCTCCTGGCGGAAGATTAGTGGAACTAAAAAGGTATCACGCTTCCATACCCCTGAAGTCGTGAAGATGATGCGAGAAAGGGACCAACAAAAGGAGTCGTTGGCTGCTGCTTGTGACACAGCATTCTTGAAGCTGCTGTCGGATATTTCAACGAAGTACCAGCTATTTCGGGACTGTATCCAAGCGCTCGCGACAATTGACGCATTGCACTCGCTATCTGTGATTGCCGCACAGCCAGGCTATGTCAAGCCCAAATACACGGATGACACGATCATCAACATTACTCAAGGCCGCCATCCGATGGTTGAGAAGGTTCTGATTGATTCCTATGTGCCCAATGATACCCAGTTAAGCACGGATGAAACTAGGGCTTTACTGATTACCGGTCCCAATATGGGAGGAAAGTCTAGCTACGTCCGCCAGATAGCTTTAATCTGCATCATGGGTCAGATTGGCTCATACGTGCCGGCTGAATCCGCTACGTTAGGAATGCTTGACGCCGTGTACACTCGTATGGGGGCATTTGACAACATGCTTGCAGGTGAGTCTACTTTCATGGTCGAACTATCGGAAACGGCCGATATCTTGAAACAAGCTACGCCTCGTTCACTAGTGATACTCGACGAGCTAGGTCGTGGGACGTCTACACATGATGGTGTGGCTATAGCACAGGCAGTGCTTGACTACATGGTTCGCAACTTGAGAAGTTTGACCCTGTTCATCACACACTACCAGAACCTGAGTCGGCTTGCAAGTGCGTTTCCAGGCGGTGAATTACGCAATGTCCACATGAAGTTTACTGAAAGCGGAGATCATGGACAGGACATTACTTTCCTATATGAAATTGGTGAAGGAGTGGCTCACCGATCATATGGATTGAATGTTGCCAAGCTTGCAAATATTCCAGCTGGAATATTGGAGGTAGCTCAGGTCAAGTCCCAAGAGCTCGAGGCTAAAATCAGCAGAAAAAAGATGGGAGGCGTTCTCCGGGGTATGTTCCAGACCTTGTCTGATGAGAGCACAAGTGATAGTGCTGGAGAGCAAGTTGAACGCCTTCTCAATGATATTGAATTGTTGTAATATAGCGTTTGGGTGTGCTATCAGCTGTGATATAGATGTACCATATAAATGACATCCTTGGTTGATGCGAGGGTAATGCCTTAATTCGAGAAGTTCTTACCCGTTGAACTGTCGGGTATCAAAAAATACGAGAAAGTAACCATGGTCAATCGCACCCATAATATTTCATGGAATTGTCCGCCATGCATTCCGTGTCTTTTTTAACCTGATCTTTCAAATCGATGCGCGGTCCAACCAGAGAAGGAGAAAGTGAAAGCGAGGACGAAGGAGGAAGTTGTTTTGAATCTCTTGATCTCGTTTATTTTTGGGACATCAAAGGCTTCGAATTAAGAACCAGTAATAGTAACAGGAAATCGCGCCCAATGTAAACACCCCTCCGTTATCATGGCCACCACCAAACAACCCGCGTCTATCGGAGTCTGCGGGCTTCTCTTTCGGATTCAAGGAGACAGAGGATATCGTCGACACGGACTAAATGTGATATTTGTTAGTTATGGGACGCTTCAAATTGCAACCAGTTCCCCGTCATCTCCTTGAAAAAGGCAGATTGAGAGCTCTCTAAACCGAGATAGAACAGAGGCGCATACCTGGGCCCTTGACGTTTCGGATAATGCTTCGGTTGGAGTCATCCATGAATTCAACGCGGACCTGAGTGACACCTCCTCGGGAACCTATTCCAAGCAAAGAAAAAACGAAATCAGCATTTCATCCCTCAGCGACATATATCACTTTCTTCCCGTATATCATGCACAAGGATATCTTTCTGCGCCTCCTCTTCCCATATCCCTTGAGTCGATATTCCCCGTCTATGCTGGTGGGCTGAACGTACCAGTGCGACCGAGAACGGCGGTCACCTTAGCGTATTTGGCGGGAACTTTGCCAGCATCCATGTTGGGCGATTGCGGATGGAGAGATGATGGAGGGAGAGCTGGAGGACGTTGGCTTCGTTGCTGCGGTGGTTCGAGGTGGTCGAAGTTGAAGCAGGTCGAAGTTCGCGATAACACAAAAAAAGCTCGAAATTTTTGGTTGTTTGTGGGAAGCAGTTTCTGCCGACCCGCGGCCCGCCAGATCGGGCTTGGCGGTGAGCGTCGGCGGAAGGTTTACCCGGGAAACCACGCTAGCCTGATACGGACATTAGCCCTAAGCCCTAAGCCAGACCTTCAAAAGGGAAGGTCGACGTTGAGCTTCTCGACAGCAACAAGAAGATGAAGCCGACGATGGAGATGAAGGACGAAGTGGTTGCTGGTGATGTTTGGAGTTAAGATGCGTTGTCTGAGGAAGATCCTGCTACCAGCTGTTACCTGAGGCAGCCGGCGAGATGGAAAATTATCCATGATAGGAGTGACCGGTTGCGACGGACGGTAAGTTAGATCTGGACTAACCGTACTTCGTAGGACGTCCGATAACCATACCTTGCTCCCTTACTGAATCACGGCTAACGGCGCTGCTAGGACTGCCTACGGCACTTGTTAAGGCCTCTGTGTCCGTAATATACAGGCCTGAGAAGTTCTAACTCCTAAGAAGACCGGCAGGGTAATCACTTCTAGCCATGGAAATAAGTCTACCATGTTTACAGCCAGCCATCAGTGAAATCAATGCAGACTGCCTGAAATAACCCATGCACTTATTTTAAAGCTAACCGGGGCCCGGGAAGGATCCGGGGCATGCGTCTTGACTAACATAGATGCTCGACGGCTGTTTTCAAGGCCGTCATGGTGGTGTACATCGAGAGCGGTACTTCCCCAGGCGCATCGTTATCATTGCCCATGGTCAAGGGCACTCTGTCTGAAATAACTTCCCATTGGCAGGGAAGGACTCGTATGCCTGCATCAACTTATCTATCAGCGTTTGAATAAACGATATTATATTACCTTATATCTGGCGCAATATAGCCAGCCTCTACTACACCCTCACCCACAACCAGCGGAGCATCCGTAATAATGCAATCAAAGAGTAAAATCAACTAAGTTGGTTAGTTAGTTAAGTGGCGCAGAGAAGCTTTCCTGTCAAAAGGAGAGTCCTTTAACTGCTAGCTAAGAGGGAGTCTCCAGTCCACATGTCATTGGTGCTCCAGAAGTCCTTATCAGAGACGATCCGAACTTCTTCCCGGGCTCGCGATTGGCCCGAACTAGCAGACAAGCTATATATCACCATTGCAAAAAGACTCATTTTGCGACTTTAAAACTAAACTGCACATTATTCAGATATTGAACAGTTAACCAAGGGAGCCGGGGCCCTGTACTACATATCGTTTCGTTTACTGCTGCTTCTCCGCATCCTGGGGGGTTTGCTCGGTGAAGTTATATCAGCCGCCAGCTGTGCACCGTTGACTCACACCCCTCTCTGCTACGCTCGTCTCTCTCAAGACTCTGTTGGAAATGGATTTGGTAAACCAGTGAGCTATTCCTATTACTAGTTGCTATACGATGAATGGCCCTACAAATTGGCAGACGGGTGCGCTGACCCGGGAACAAAGTCTAGAAGGCCGGCTGCTGTTCGCAGTGCCCAAGAGCAAGTCCAGCCCCCTCCCCGCCCTATGGAAACACAAGGACAGCTACAATTAACACGATATACTCACTGTAGAGGGCCGTCTGCAGCAGGCTACAATCGATCTGCTGGACGGATCAGATATTCAATTCCGCAGAGAGCACCGTTTGGATATAGCTCTTGTCAAGAACCTTCCGGTGGCCCTTATCTTTTTGCCGGCAGCTGATATACCCACCTTCGTCGGTGAAGGTCGTGTCGATCTAGGCATTACTGGGCAAGACCAAGTGGCCGAGCATGATATCCGTCGGCCACCAGGCGAGCAGTCCGGGGTGGAGGAGATACTGGACCTTGGCTTTGGCGGATGCAAGCTACAGGTCCAAGTTCCAGAGAAAGGCCCCATAACTGACCCTAGGGAACTCATTGGAAAGAATGTCGTTACTAGCTTCACGGGCCTTGCAGAGTCCTACTTTGCCAAATTGGAGGGTGCGACTAGGAAAGCGGACGGAAGCTGGGATATACAGACTAAGATCAAGTATGTCGGCGGCAGTGTGGAGGCTGCTTGTGCTCTGGGAGTAGCTGATGGCATTGTTGATCTTGTCGGTATGTTTTCGTTCACTGTTCTAACCCCATATTGCTCATCTATCTAACTTGCAACTATAGAATCTGGCGAGACGATGAAAGCTGCTGGACTTCAGGCTATCGATACAGTGCTCTGCACTAATGCCGTCCTTGTCAAGTCCCGAAAGACCACCAACCCTCTAGTCGACCTCATAGTTCCAAGAATACGTGGTGTTATCAGTAAGTTTGTTTAGAATCTACTAAACTCAACAGTCCATACTAACAGTCCCTCTAGCTGCCAAGAAATATGTGCTTTGCCAGTATAACATTCCTCGTAACATCTTGTCCAATGCGTGTGCCATAACGCCTGGAAAACGGGCTCCTACCATTACTGCCCTGGAAGAGGAGGGCTGGGTTGCCGTCAGCGCCATGGTAGAAAAGAAGCAGATTGCTACCGTCATGGACGACCTATCGGCTGTTGGTGCGACTGATATCCTTGTTATAGGAATCGCAAATTCGAGAACGACCCCCTGAGATACTTCCATCCTTAGTCTTTAATGAACTAGTTTATGACAACCTTTACTGCTTGTTGTTCTATTAGCATATGCTTCTTGTCTGTTTCTTTCGGATCCCGAGGGATTCTGATATGAAATAACTGTAGAATTTGCCTTAGCTTCCAACAATTGCTCCCTAGGGAAACCGTTAGTCAATGACTATACAAGAATACAGTTTGCATTTCATCAAACACAAGATTATCAAAAAATATTAAGTAGACAAGGGGAATAGACAATAAAATGGTATATTCATATATAAAATTACATCAATGTCGTTCGGCCTCCGACGTCTCTTGCGCCTTCACCAGTAGGCATCTCCCCATTTCTGCCCACGATGAACTCGCGATATATACTTTCTAACCTCTTCCTTTCTACTGCACTAATGGAGCAGCGAGTGGTGGCAAGCGACCGCTCAATATGTGTCCATTCAATGCTGATCTCATCTGAGTCCTTATCATCATCGTCTAGTCCCGCATCGCCAGAAGCATTATTCGCATCGATCTTTGACGCTGGGTCCGATATAGGATTGCGTTGTGCCTGCTTTTGGCGTTGACGGGCTTTCTTAAGTTCTTCAATTTTAGCTGCAATGACAGCCGGCGGATCTAGAGCGGTATTTCTCACGCCCTTGGAGGTAGTGGCGAGAGTATGTTCTTTCGAATCGTATAGGAATTGAATGAAGGGTCTATTGGCTTGAGAGGATTTCGAGGACGTTTCACTGTTTTCGGCGGATGAAGATGATTTTGATTTCTTGGAGGACTTGGTTGTTTCTGGAGCTGGTGTTCGGTCTCCAAGAGCGTCATGGATAGCTTCGAGGTGGGCGTTATATACAACGGCCTGAAGGTCGGCACCAGAATATCCTTCTGTCCGGCCTGCAATTTCATACAACCGAGACATCACATCGTCACTGAGCTTTAGCTTTCCACTCAGAGCTTGGATGATATCAACGCGGTCGGCGTGGTTGGGCATATCGCATAACAAGGACTTATCAAGACGACCAGGCCGTAGCAAGGCAGGGTCAATCAAGTCTGGTCGAGAGGTCGCTGCCAGAACATACACCCCTGACAGGCCCTCGGCACCGTCCATCTGTGTCAAGAGCTGATTGACGACTCTATCTGTCACACCAGTGGAATCATGACCACGCTTCGGTGCAATACTGTCAAACTCGTCAAAGAAGAGAATGCAAGGCCGTGCAGCTTCGGCTCTCTCGAAAAGATCACGCACGCTCTTTTCACTGGCGCCGATATACTTGTTAAGGATCTCAGGGCCCTTCACACTGATAAAATTGAGGCCGCATTCTCCTGCAACGGCACTGGCAAGCAGCGTTTTACCACATCCAGGGAACCCGTAAAGTAAAAGTCCAGAACGGAGTCGGAGTGGGCATTGGGAGAAAATTGGGGCATACTTTGTGGGGTATTGTAGGGTCTCAAGCAGGGTGTTTCTTGTGCTATGCAAGCCACCGATTGCTGAGAAAGTGGTCGAAGAGGAGGTAAGAGTAACATTTCTAAGAGACGCAGGAGTGAATCCTTTCAATGCTCGGTCAAAGTCCTCTGTACCCAGAGTGATGACGCTTGAAGAGGATGTAGTATCTTGAACTGCGTTTATCAATGCCTCATTCCTGGCGCGGGATACCAGTAGTACTAAATCACCAGGCATATAGCCGTCTGTTTTGCCTGCTAGGTCAAGAAAATCAAGGTCTCTGCTCAAAACGAACCCATCAGAATGATCAGACGACCCTGGCCGTGATGTAGGATTTGATGGGTTGAGCCAGGAATCCTGGGATGAAGAGCTAGGGTTGCGAGCATGGCCGTTCACTTCTCCCTGTAAGCTAGAGGTTTTATCCTCCTTCGTCAGCTGTTCTAGAATCAATCTTCGCCCGTCTTTGTTGGGCGACTTTAAGCTGATGATTTCTCGAACAACATGGCCTCCGATTATAACGTTGTTTAAGGATTCTTTCGCCTGTGCAGTTGCCAGCAACACCACTGGCGAAGAAGCAGAGCAGAATTCCCGGACAGTAGAGCAGACAATCTCACTGATTTGGCGGCTTCTGCCGTTCTCGCCGCCGACTTGGAGTTCCGTCTCGACAGGGCATAGTTTGTCCAGATCGTCTAATATGACAACCGAGTTCCCACCAAGTCTCGCACACCAAGAAGCAGAAAGGAAAAGCCGCCGCAAGGTGTCTTTGATTGAGGAGATGCGGGTCTCATCATTGAGCAGCTTTCGACAGGGGAAGTATGTAACATTAAACAAGTAATCTTCTCGCAATTGGTGAGCAAGTAGATAGGCAAGAGATGTCTTGCCGGATCCAAGTCCACCAGTGAGAAGAATCGATGAAGACCGAGTGAGGTTTGACATGCAGTTTGTAATAACAGGTTTGATACCTACTAGCTTGGGGATCTCAGTAGGCAAAACTTCGTCTGCTGGTATAGGTTGGAATGAGAGGTCTGGCGGCTTGGGTATTGCTGCCTGCACTTCAATGGCGATTTTGCCTTCGGATCCAAGCATCCAGCCAAACGCTGGTTTAGCATCGGCCGAGTTTCCATCTACTGGAGGGTCAAACTTGACCATCCCCCCATCAAAATCTAGCGTTCTCATTTGATCGTCTAGCTTTGGGAGGAACATTCCGTCTGTAATTGGGCCGCTCAAAATGCCCTTATCAGACCCGGGACTCCCGTATACCATCTTCAAACGTTCAACAAAGGCATCCCGAGCGCTGGCTGAATCGCCACCGAACCTGAAGCTCTCTTTCTTTTTAGATAAATCTGTGCCAAAGGGAAACAGTTTGAGCGTTTTCACTGCTGATTTCTGAATTGGAGGTGGAGCAGCCTCTACGCGGACGATGCCGCCGACCATGCCGTCAAACTCTAAGGCAGAGCATAAGAGCGAAGACAAAGCGATATGCTCGGTATCAGGGCTCTCATCCCAAGGGAGAAGTCTGGCCACAAGTTTCCGTGAGATGCTTCCAGCTTCAGGCGAAATCAGCTCCTTCTGCTGAGCCTGTTGCTGTGGATCAACGGGTGCCTGTAGTGCAGCTGGTCGTACAATTGACACACAAGCCCAGGAAACCCCTCGTAGCTCGTTCTTTGACAAAACATCGCGGTCAATCCACACCTTTAGCCCTTCATCCTTCTCTGCCTCGGCATCCTCGTCAAACCAGCTGACGGCGGCTTTCCGGTCTACTGCCCGCAAGAAAAGTGCGCCTCGTGATGACGACTCTGACTGACTACTTCGGGGTCTCTGAACGCTGCTGACACTTCTTGCTCCCTGGCTTCTGCGGCCGGTGCTGGCAGTACTCCGATTTCCACTCTGAGATGACCTTCCAGTTTTCGGGCGGACCTTGGGTGCAACAATGACTTCTGCATCGGGTGAAATTTTTGCAAAAGGAGATGATGACGGAGCTGGTGGAGTCAGCGATGTGACGGTTATATTCGCGGTGGAAGTAGGTGACAGGTGTAAAGTGAGCGGATGCGTGTGCTCTGCTTGTCCGGCAGAGAGTGTATAAGCAGGGTTGGGAAGCGCCCTGATTTGAGAAAGGAGATTGAGTTCCAGGAAGTTGGCATGTAATTCGATGACTGGTGGACAAGAATGGTCAGTTTAATATACCCACATATTCCACATTCTAAATTACATACTCTCCCAGTCCGCTGGAGTCAATGGTTCGATGTTGACTGTATGGGCAATCGGCGGATCCAAGTGTAGAAGCACACCAACCTAAAGATTGACGTCAATGGAAACCCTTATATCACCAACAGTGAAAGGGAACACGGGATATCTGTATACCTTTTGTCCGTCACTCAAGCCCAGTACCCTTCCAAAGGTTGAATCGATTTCCAACACGGCCACATCCTGGTCCTTTGGCTGGCCCCTTGTGCCATTGATACCGTCCCGTGTCACAACTGGTGCCAGTTTCCTCTTGCTAGGCATACCCGTCCAACCAACATGCGTTGACCTCTGCACTGGCTGTCCATTCTTCCCAGGATCGGAGGCGGATGTAGGTTTCCCACGGTGCTGTAGCTCGACGATAACGTTTTGCGCAGGCTAATTCACAGCAATTAGCGATCCGTCGCAAGTCGTAGAATTCCATTTTACTTACGGTATTTGCATTGACAAGCAGCGAAACCAGCGGCGAGGGCAGGTTGACCAGGCAGCTCTTCAGGGGTACCAGGGCAACCTCCGCCAAAGTTGGGGTCCTCTTGCTGGGAGCCATAACTGTATATAGGAAACTAGAGGAAACAACGCAAAAGAACGAGACAACCTAGGCCAGTTAACGGACTGCGCACGAAGTTGGTATCATCAAACAGGCCAGAGACCGCAATGCATCCTTCTCCCTTCGTCTGCCAGTCTGTCAGCCCGCGTATTTGCTGTCTTTTGGCGCGACGGCGAGCTTTTGCGGCTTTCTCCAGCTTTCTTTTTTACTTTCTGAGCACGCGGGAAACCCGTGATCCCGAGCAAAAATAGATTTTCCGACTCCGACAAGCCGACGCTTCGGACCGAGCGTTTATCCACGCCGGCTGAGTCATTGGCTTGTTTGTCAGCGACGCTAAGCCTGGTTTGGATATATTAACGCGTCGCGTTTCTGGCTCGCGTTCCCGCGCGCTTAACTTTGAGTTTGTTTGAGTTTCGAACTTCGCGATTTCAAGCATCAAAAACCGCAAAGTCGCAAAGTCGTCGCTTGAAGGTTGCAGCCAGTCCAGCAATTGGCAGCGCACTCTCATTACGACTGGACGGGAATTTGGCTTGTTTTACTTTGACTGCACTCTCCCCTTCGGTATCCCTGCGCGAACTTCCCTATAGACAGCTGTCCTGAACGCGTGCGAAAATGGCGCTCTTCCCCCTCCGCCTCCAGATCAACTACGAGGAGGAAAAGAATGTGCTCAAAGAGTTTCTTCAAAACTTCAAGTCCAGCCAGTCCGCCTCGGAAGCATCTGCGACAGAAGCGATTTCAGGTCTCAACATTGATGAAGATGATCTTGACGCCCTGGATGAAATGGACGAGGACGGTGAAGAGAATGGGCAAACGACGAGAGAGCGACGTGAACCGAAGCTTAAATATATGGCGCTATTGCAAGAAATTGCTGACAGAACGAAGAATCACCTCGTCATAGAGTTGGACGACTTGGATAAAGTACAGTCAGCCCCCGGAGATGGCGTTTATACCCGTCGTTTGAGTGTTGGAAGGCTAATCGATGTGCCTTTACCAGTTCATGAAATCTGCACCCGAAGGGCCATATTCAGACCTTGCAGAACGAATTACGAATAATGCGAAGCGATACATCGATGTGATTTCGGAAGCAATTGATGACATAATGCCCAAGGAAAGCTCAGAAGTAACGTTAGTACAGACACCCTTATGGCGCTAGAGGCACATGAGCTCATATTGACTTATGCTTCTAGATTTAAAGACGATGTAATTGATATTATAGTTGCTCAGCGTGGACGACGGAACGAAACTCTGGACCTGAATTTAGAAGCGGACCCAGATGCCGACGTGCAGGCATCCACATTCCCGCCAGAGCTTACCAGGAGATACACACTTAACATCAAACCGATCACTCCCTCTGGATCAAGCAGTAACCCGAAAGCAAAGGCTTTTGCAGTCAGAGATGTTCGTGGAGCACAGCTTGGAAAATTAATCACAGTTCGTGGCATCACTACTAGAGTTTCCGATGTCAAACCCTCTGTCAAGATCAACGCATATACCTGTGACCGTTGTGGCTCTGAAGTATTTCAGCCGATCACCACCAAACAGTTTCTCCCACTAACGGAATGTCTGTCGGAAGAATGCAAAAAGAACAACAGCAAGGGCCAGCTTTTTCTTTCCACGCGAGCCTCAAAGTTTGTCCCGTTCCAGGAGGCCAAGATACAGGAGATGGCAGACCAAGTACCTATTGGACACATCCCTCGCACACTGACAGTACACCTGATGGGTAGCCTGGTCCGACAGTTGAGCCCAGGAGACAATGTTGATATTGCCGGAATTTTCCTTCCCACCCCTTACACAGGTTTCCGGGCCATCAAAGCCGGTCTTCTTACTGATACCTATCTCGAAGCCCAACATATTACACAACATAAAAAGGCCTACGACCATCTTGTCATGGACCCAGTAACCCTGAGAAAGATTACTAGACACGCGAGTTCGGGTAACATGTATGAGTACTTGTCACGTTCGATAGCTCCGGAAATTTATGGTCATCTCGACGTTAAGAAGGCCCTGTTACTTCTTCTAATCGGTGGCGTGACAAAGGAAATGGGAGACGGAATGCGGATTCGTGGTGACATAAATATCTGCCTGATGGGTGACCCTGGAGTTGCGAAATCCCAACTTTTGAAATATATCACCAAGGTAGCTCCTCGTGCAATTTACACCACTGGACGAGGAAGCAGTGGTGTTGGTCTGACAGCGGCAGTGATGCGTGACCCTGTCACAGATGAAATGGTTCTTGAGGGCGGCGCCCTTGTTCTCGCAGATAACGGTATTTGCTGCATCGATGAATTTGACAAGATGGATGACGGCGATAGAACTGCTATCCACGAAGTTATGGAACAACAAACGATCTCGATATCTAAAGCCGGAATCTCAACCACTCTCAACGCTCGCACCTCCATTCTTGCAGCTGCCAATCCGCTGTACGGACGGTATAATCCCCGAGTCTCGCCTGTTGAGAACATCAACCTCCCAGCCGCGCTTCTGTCTCGTTTTGATATTCTGTTCCTCATGCTCGACACCCCCTCTCGTGATGCTGACGAAGAACTTGCCAGCCATGTTGCCTATGTACATATGCACAACAAACACCCTGAGACCAGTGCTGATGAAGTAGTCTTCACTCCTGCTGAAGTACGACAGTACATTGCTAAAGCGCGAACATTCCGCCCCGTGGTACCGAAGAGTGTCTCGGAATATATGGTGGGTGCATATGTCCGTATGCGCAAACAGCAAAAGCAAGAAGAAGGAAGCAAAAAACAATTCACTCACGTTACGCCGCGAACCTTGCTGGGCGTCCTTCGCCTTTCTCAGGCTCTGGCCCGACTCCGATTCAGCGAGCGTGTTGTCACTGAGGATATCGATGAGGCCCTCCGACTGATCGAAGTTAGTAAATCCAGCTTACACCAGGACTCGCAAACTGGTATGGATCACAGCCCTACCAGCAAGATCTATAACCTCATTTGCGCTATGAGGGAGAGTGGTGCGGCTGCTATCGGTGACGAAGATGAAGGAACTCTCAGCATGAAGAGGATCCGGGAACGAGTGGTTGCGAAAGGATTCACAGATGACCAACTCAGCCAGGCAATTGATGAATATGCGGAACTTAGTGTAAGTGCAACATTTATCCTCCGGTTTTCGCTTGTTACCCTCATTAACTTGTATACTTCCTACAGGTCTGGCAAGTCAGTGGAAACGGCACTCGGCTTGTTTTCATTGAAGCTGGGGATGGCGATGCTATGGATTTGTAGGATTTCATAATAATTATAACGAATTTTCAAAACAATAGCGTACGGTTTGATAAATCTAGTCCTCTAATGAGCCCTAGCTTTCAATGCTTCTCAAGTGCGTCCTTGACTAAATTCCTTTCTTTCCGATGAAGCAGTAAAGAATAATGATTCTCTACAATGCGATGTCCAGGGATCAAGGGCCTTCTCTACCCAATACGGAGTATCCTACAGCAGCTTCTTGCATCGCGAGCTAATACCGATGTCTTACATGCATGCTATGCTGGCTACTCGTTTCCCCATTCCCCGTACTCCGTATACGAGCTTCCACGGAGCCAAAGAAGCCAAAGAAGCCGCTAGGCTGATCGCAGTTAAACATCCCAACACGCTTCTAAGCTGGACCCCTAGCGAGGGCTGAACATTTTGTCTATTCATAGCACTACCCGAAACATAACGCAGTTCTTATCACTACTCCGTACCTCATGGATATATCACAACAGGGAGCAGTGCTGGGAACAGGGTTGGTTACCCCGGAGTGTCGATGCACGCTAAGGCCAAACTAGTCCCGACTCTTCGCTTGCGATGACTTCATCGTCCCAACTTTCTTTTCACCTCGCCGGACAGGTAATACGCTCGAGCAAGCGAGATGTCTCAGCGCCATATGTTTTCCCAGCCATTATGGGCTCTGCCATACGAAACTCAGCGAATGAGGAGCGGGCGAGCTGGCAGGTTCGCCATTAGCATTTGGGTCAAACGAGAAAAGGCGTTTGCAGCGCTCGGGTCGGTGACCATTCAGATATCTGACTATGATGGCTGAGAAGAAGAAACCGAAGCTATAGTCGTATGATTCTAACTCTCCGGCCATGGTGACACAGCCAGCTAGACAGCGGACTGGATGTTATACGACGTTGTCGGTATACTTGACTCTCGCCTACGCAGCGCAGTGCAGCCAGATCCAAAGCTGTTGAACGTTTGCTGGCACCAATGGCGAACCGCTTGTAGTTGACAGGCTTGGGGTTCTAGATCGCTCAGATAAAGATATTCAATACCCATGTGGGCGCAAGGATGCTCCCTGGCATCGACTGTGCTTTAGGGATGAAACTGGATTTCTCACGTATCACAACCCCAGCGAGAATGTTGGCCTAGATGGAGGCTAAGACAAGTGATTTTAAGCCTCTTCATTCATCCATGGTCGAGATGCCCTCCAAATGCCAGAATAAGATGAATAACACGGTTTGGTCTTTGTTGATCATATCTATCCAATTTCTAGATTCGTTCGATGGTGATATCAGAATGGGCCTGATCTTCAGCAAGCCAAACTCTGGTTTGAGGGTGGTTTGCAGGATACCACGGTTGATGAAAGACGAGAGCTTTCGATTCTAATTCCAAGCCGGAAACCCTATCAACCATTCTTCTTTAAGGCAACGGCTTGACTAGACTCTTCGTGAGCTTGGCTAATGCTGTTTGTCTAGTGTTACTAATAATAGCTTTGCCAAAACATCGATGGATAATCTGACTGTTTACCGCTGTTAGGTCTCAGGCCTATGAAGGAGTGGTTCCTCTGCAGCTGCATCCTTTGCCAGCTCTCGCCATGCGAGATCACTTCCGTATCAGGAGTGAACGTGGTTCATATTTAGGTGTGCTTCTCTTTTTGCAGAGGCACAAAACGCTAGTTTATACGACCTACATAACTTCTTGGAGGAGGAAGGATTAGGCACCTTTGGGATATTGCCTCGCCATGCAGCCACTCAGGGAAGTAAAACCTACCAAGCTAGCCGGATATCTTCCACCCTCCCTTGGGCCCCGCAAGGTAGCATTGACTATGGGGCAAATGCCGGCTGCTGAAGTGAGACAGCTCCCAGGTTACCTCCCTAGGATCGCTTATGGGGCTGAGCAAGAGAGTGCTCATGGAAAGATATAAAAGGCAGCATCGAGCTCCCCATATCTGAGAAATATCATCCAGCACTCCAGCACAAACACATCGAAGCAAGAAGTCCAATCAAGCAATAAATTGATCAACTTAATCAGTTTAAAAAAAATCAATCTATCAAGATGCAGTTCAACCTTTTCACCACTGCCTCCCTCCTGTTGGCCAGCACCTCCCTTTTGGCTGCCGCCCTCCCTCAGAGCCTTGCCAACCGCAACTCTCCTCCAGTCTGCGGTACCTGTAACCCGGTCTCTGGAAAGAACTTCTGTGACATCACCACCTCTTGCATCAATACCGGATCTACCTTCCACTGCGCCTGCCGTGCTGGCTACAAGGCGAGCCCTAACAACAACGACATCACCAAGCAGTTCCGTCTGCCATTCAAGAACTACGAGTTCCTCGTTTTCGTGCCACAGAACACTGCTTGCAACACCCTCTGCAACGACTGGACTCTGCCACCACCAGCTTTGTGCTCTGAGGTCCCTCTCTACAACCAATGCAAGGTTTAAATTGCTTCTATAGCGAAACAACTCACGTTTGACGCTTCGACAACAAGAGTTAGGAAAGATGGACTGTGCGATCAGCTAGGAATTTAGATGGAGAGGATGTACTTGTGGGATGATTGATCGATTTGATGTGACGAAGAGGTCATATGAGATATATTGTGGTTATGGCTATATTTTTTACATTCCTTTGATGACAGCGTTACTTTGCAAATATATTCACCTGTTGTACATGACAGACAATTCATATAATAGTATTGGAAGTAAACATGACCATTAGTACAGCATAGTTGACTAGAGAAGTAGAATTGCCAATATGGCGCAGGAATGTGTCAATGGTATGTTTAAATTCTCTACGTAAGAACATGAGAGTACATGAGTAAAGGAAAAATATACCCCAACCCAGGACGCCAAACGCCAGTCCATTCCACCAAGATCCTGCTAATATTTCCAGGACATGCTCACACCAACCCAGTCTATTTCCGCGGGAAGAAAGCGATTTGGCCTAGTATAATGAAGCGTGGACGTTCTCCGGGCACACAAACCCGAAGGAACTTCGGCTTAGATATGCCACAATCGGAGCAGCCGCAGAAGATACAGGCGCCACGCATCGGTGAATTATTTGGCAAAATGTTCATGCAGTGATTGCAGAGGAAGAAGACCCAGATATTGAAGTCTGCGAAGTTGATGCGCCAGTTCTCATTCCTCCATTTGGTGGGTTCATGATGGTGAGAACTCCGTCCGATACCGAGCATTTGTTGGCGGTCACGGATCTGAGAGTTATAGCGCTTCTCCATGTTCTCTAACTCCTTGTCCCATGATACTGGAAACCCGGCCTTTTCACAACTGATGCTGCAAGACCCTAGCTTGTCCAACACTCTCGGTAGACAACCCTTGATGTATGATTGCAGGGTTAGAGAGCTGCTACTCGTCATTTTGCGCATTATCCGATCCTCATGAGTTAGTGATCGAAAATGGGGAAACGAATACAGGCCCTTGTCAATTGGTGGGTGAAACGGGCACTGTATGTTTTTCCCCATTTTTGAGAAGAAGTTGCAGAGGCTGCACTTCTGAAACTTTTCTACAACCTTTCTGACATTCCGTCTGCTTCTCGTCATACATAGGAACTTGCTGTTGTGCCCAAAGTAGGGGAGGAGAGGAGAGTCGTATAACAGGCGCATGGCCCTGACGCGCGCAGAAGGACAGGCGATGGGATGGTAACCTTTCATGGGTATCGAGTCATGGAAGGTTTTGCACGTCAGCCAGAGCATGGTGCGATCGACAGAGTGCAAGTGGTCAGCAATCAAAAGGATGATATCCAGAGGAAGCATTGTAAGAGTATATTCCTTCTGCCGATAGAACCCCTTGGACATCCTTAGTTTGCCAAGTTCGGGTAGGATACACGGTGACAGGCTCTCGTCTGAAGCCGTGGGCACTGCTGGGCTTTTCGCTGAGGGTTGTGCCATTTTGATGACAGGAATACTTTGACCAAGGGTAGTATAGGAGATGGATATGATGCTAAAGAAGTGGGAGTCTTCAAGAATAAATAGAGGAAAAAAGAAGCTGGAAGCAATGTTTGGAATAAAGTGAAGAAGGCGCGACGACTCATGGACACCAAAACGCCTGCCCGCTAGAAGCAATAATTAATGGCAGCTGATGGAGTCAGCAACTCTTAGTGGTATAAAGAACGCACTCGCAATAGAAAAAAGATAGAGAAAAAGACGAAGAAGAAGGAAAAGGAAAAAGGGATTGGCACGCGGAGTGAAGCGCTTAAATAGACAAAAACCACAGCTGTGACGACAATGACACCACACTACGTCAGAACACGTAGACGTCAGCAAAGTTGCCGAGTTTAGTAGTAACTTTCAAATTCCCATTTGAGTACCATAAATATTGATATCTGAACCATGGGAGCGAGCAGTGTGGCCCGTGGTTCGGATGCATCCGTTATGGAGCGTCATAGGGAATAGAGAGCTAGTTGAACGGGAAACTATTACAACTGGTTAATTCTGATGGTATATTAGATTAGGATGTGGCTTAAGCAACAGCGAGACGCGTATAGCTCTATCGTTGACGTCGGCTTATTAACAGCAGACTGCTCGCGTCATACTGAATTTGATTTTGCATGAGCTTTGTATGGGGGGTATTGGTATCTGCCACTTCGTAGGGTATACATTGGGTATACATTCAGGACACCAACCACCTTAGTGTTATATATATATGTATATATATATATATATACACACTGAATTATCAATAACTGTCCAAATGGTCTTTTCATCTTCAAACTGCCGATGTTGTAGAGTCGTTGATGTAGACTTGATGACGTCAAAATAGGGTTGCGGATAAAAGTAAAGCCATCCCGTTTAAGGTGATTAGTCATCATTTGGCTTATTCATCATTCCCTTGTTTATTTTATTTTATTTTATTTTTATTTTTTTCCCCCTTGAAAGTCGAAGTCAAGTCGAGTCAAGCCAAACAATAGCTGGTTGATTCTTCGGTCATGAAGGGTTAATTTCGCTCGTATGCTCAGTATCAGTGTGTATCAAGACAGTGCTCCGTCGCTTTGACCTTTCCAGACGGTCTCACCCCGCCGTGTCGGTCGTAATCGCCGCCTCCAATCGTCGCCCCTCCTGAACCCCTGTATCCCTTGCATCCGTGCAGCCCTGAGTCGCAGCCATCCCCTGCTCATAAAATGCAATATGACCAAGGAGGAAAGGTGAGCTGTCACCCGTATCCACGGTTCCGGGAATGGTGTAACCTAATTCGTGGAGACGCAGAGGCCGCAGACCCGTCAAGGCATGTAAGATTGTTGCGGCTACCGAGGTTATATCGATCACTAACAGGGGGGTTTCCCGGAGGCATTGGCCGATATCGACTCGACCTTGGTGTGTCTCCTCGGGGGAATTCGCTGCTCGACGTCGAACGGATAACCCCTCCATCTTCCTCTCTTCCTCGCTATAAGAGACGATCATACAGAGTAACCCTTGGCCATCATATCCGGAGCCCCTTGTAGATCCTTGGTTGCTTTTTGCTGCTGGTTTTTGGCTATATATCAGAATTTTCCCTTAAAACCTTTGATAGACGCCGTGTATCCGACATCCTGCACATTTGCTCGGACGAGAACTGGATCCCCTTGTGTCCGTGGCCGAGTTGGCGTGATGGTGATGGACCGCCAGAAGCCCTGGGGCTACCGATGGCGGTCCTCCAAGCCCTTTATGCTTTCCATTGTAGTTCTGGCCTTATTCGCTGGTAAGTAGTTGGTGATTCCCTTATTTCCCGCGGCTCAGCTTGGTTTGTTTCTAACGTAGTGTGTTGTTATCCTCTGTAGAAACCTTTCTTTATGGCTTTATCGTCCCTATCCTGGGCTACATGCTTGAGGTCCGTCTGCATGTCGACCCGTCGCAAACACAGAGTCTCACCTCGTCCCTCCTCGCTATCCATGGCTTCATGACTTTGGTCGCGGCACCAATTATTGCCCATTTTGCAGATAAGACGCCGAATAGGAGGATGCCGCTATTGATAGCTCTGGCAGCATGCGCCGTTGGGACGACACTCGTTGCCTGTTCCCCTTCCGGTAAGCCTAATTATTACGTTCATCATGAGAGAGAGCATGTTGCTAACATGGGTTCTTAGTCTGGGGACTTTTTGTAGGCAGAATCCTACAGGGAATTGCCGGCTCTGCGACATGGATTGTTGGATTCGCTACAATGGTGGATAATGTTGGAATGGACAACATAGGGAAGACCATGGGTCTCTCGATGTCCTTTGTCATGGCCGGCGTCATATTCGGACCGGTGATTGCTGGCTCCCTGTTGGAACTCGTGGGATACTGGGCTACTTGGTCCGTTCCTCTGATCGTCATTTTCCTCGATATTGTTGCCCGTCTGCTCATGATTGAAGTGAAAAACCAGCCTGACGGACACCATGACTCGGCACGGAATCATCAGACCGATACCCTAGCTAATGAAGAGACTTCCTTGCTTCAATCAAGCGGAAACAGCAACGAGGCATCTGGTACCGATGGATCACCTAAGGCTGCTGCTGAAGAACCGGTATCATCCCGTAATTTTTACCTCACGGCTCTGCGCGATATGCGAGTAGTGATAGGTCTTTCGAGCGTCATATGCGCATCTTCAGTCGTAGCTGGATTTAATGCAACTCTTCCGCTTCATCTAAGCAGGATATTCAACTGGGGAAGTTTGCCCGTTGGAATGATGTTCCTTGCCATGCAGATACCTAGCATGCTCCTTGGTGCTCCAGTTGGCTGGCTCCGTGACCGGGTAGGGCTCAAATTCCCTACGGCTATAGGTTGGGCATTTCTGGCCCCGCTGCTATGGCTCATGGGTGTTCCTGGGGACAGTAATTTCCCCTGGGCCGGCGCCGATAATAATGGCCCGGCCATATTTGTGTCTGCAATCACAGGAGTCGGAATTGTCTACACTTTGATCCGCGGAGCTGGTGTTGTCCAGATGACTAGTACGTGGACAAAAAGTTCCCTGTCACTGTATTTCTTCATATCACTAACGAGCCTTTACCCCTAGTTGCGGTGAATGAGATGCAGACTAAAAACCCGAAAATATTCGGGGAACATGGCGGTAACTCTAGAATCTCCTCCATGACAGAGGTAGCTTTCAGTCTTGGATTGGTCATCGGGCCTATTCTGGCGGGATCCTTGACCGAGTTGGTGGGCTACTACTATATGAATTTTGTATTCTGTGAGTATACCTTTGTCAAATCCTTACCAGCCTCCCTACTAATACCTCGGTAGGCATTTTATCTCTAATCCTCGCCTTTGCGACGTTCTCCGTATTTGATGGAAAGCGCACTGGTGAGTCTTCGGAGGTCTAGACACGCTGTTTATTGTGAATTTTCATTTTGATCTCTTGGGCAGCATTAGCACGGAATAGGGGGGTCATCACATAGGCGTTGCTGTTTGATTATAGTTTCGATTGTGCTCACAGATATATCTAATGAATTGATAATCAAGCCACAACACTGCTACGATAATTAGCAAACCATAAACTTGCCAGTCGAAGATATCGACCATGCCATGATGCTTACCATTAAAGGTACTACAGCGACTGTCTATCTTATGGTTTGCTATGATAACATATGTCAAATTTTTTTTTTTTTTTTTTTATTCTTTTCGGGCTATCTAAATAATAAACGTAACTACTTGTTGAACTGTGAAAGCATCTTCAACCGTCGTTCAATGCTTCTTTCTGCAAAGTAGACATGTGCACCTGCTTCAGAACATCATCTATTCCAATGGACGGTGGCTTGGTGGAGATCTTCATTCCAACGCGAAAATCCGGCCAGACGTCTTCGGCGGTGTGAGGTTTTGACTGGCATATTTCGATTGTGTCGTCTCTATCTCAACTGCTCCAAAATTCCTGCGTGGCTTGAAATTCGGGAACCAGCAGTCTCGCCTGTGGTATCATAGCAAGGATTGCCTTCCAGTCCGCATGGGAAATTCCTCACTGACCTTTCGACCAACCTTCTTGACGCCAGAGGTGGGCGTTCCAGCCGGGACAGACGGGTGCTTTATCTCAGCAAGCCGGCAGAAGACAGGGAGTCTCTCCTCAAAATAGTAAGAATTACCATTTAGCAGCGCCCACAGATATAATTTGTTTTGCATTAGGTACACGGCGGATAATTTGCCAAAGATTGTATCTGCGAAGGGCAAGATAATCATCCGCCGGAGACGAGCCATCCACCCCAGAGATAAAGGGGAAGAAACAGCAGAGGACAGAGATTCCGTTCAGAAGTAAGTTCCTCTTGTAGATGGAGAGACTACTCCAGCCATCATTGCCGGTTCAAGATGTCATAGGGGTATGGACGTTCGAGCCCGATCCTCGGTGCTATGGTGTCTGGTATCCAATTCTCCCCAGCTCTGGTGATAAGATTGGGTTTATCATTGGTATGTAATGCTTCTCGAATTGGTCTCAACAGTGTAGCTAGCTGACTTTTGATCTTTACCCCCTATTGTTTGCTGGAAACACCCCAGAGCGCTAACCGAGCAGGAGCAGGAGCAGAAGTCTGCTATGGAAGCTCACTGCGGATTGACAGTCTGATATTGAGTTTCAGAGGAGTGAGGCCATCTGGGTAGGTAGGATACTTTCTCTTTCATTTTAGTGATTGGTATAACATATGTCTGCACTCCTCCATAAAGATAATTTGTGGTGAACGAATGCGAGGCTTATTGATATTGTTCGTCGAAAATGTGACGCAGTAACCAGAGCAGCTCATAACATCCTTGTACTGTAGTCCGCGGGTACGGATTACCAGAAATAACTGGTCTGACCACGTAATTCCGGCTGAGTCTTTTCATAATAGTCGCTACCAGACATTTTATTCTTCAACAGACGCA